CCGTCCATCATTTGGCCTCAAAGGAGGTAAAAATTGTTCAAAATCGAAGTTGAAAAGATGCTTTCTGAGCACATAATCTGGTAGCAATCACGTGACCTGCTATAAGCAGCTTATCGATAATTTACAAACATAATTATTAATATCTGCTTTAAACAACATTAATCATACATTTTGAGCTTTCAGTACTTTAAATAAGGTCAAAACATCGCAAAACACAAAAGTTAATACAATAGTCACGTGCGTGTCAGGAAATGTCACAGGTGCGTCAAATTTGTGACTGGGGCTTTACTTTCAAACATCGGATCTACCTGTTTCTTATAGGTATCTTGCTTAAAATCTTATTTTTATTACAGTGAGCAATTAGGCCATTAGAAAAACACGGAACAAATAGTGCATGGACGCGTTTCGATTATTAAATCTTCATCGGCATGACACAAGCACAGAGAAAACAAGATATCTTGATTATATCTTGTTATATAATGCTATATAATATCTATATAATATCTTGCTATATAATATCTTGTTTTCTCTGTGATTGTGTCATGCTGATGAAGATTTAATAATCGAAGCGCGTCTATGCACTATTTGTTCCGTGTTTTTCTACTTGTCTCTATCAACAAAAATTAGGCCATTGTAAGGGCTAATCACTTCGGCTCGGTTACCAGATAATTATAGTCAGTCTCAGCTATAATTATGTGATAAACCTATTTGATGCCACTTATTGTTATTTACCTTTACTTTCAGCACACTGGTTGCCATGGACCTGACCAGTGACCACCGCACTTTCGTCGAGCAAAGACCAGCTGCAAGGATGGCTTGGGAAAACAAACTGAATGCGTGAGTGCCCATTATCTATGGAGTAGTAATGGACTCTATCGGGCTCGGGCACCACTCTGGCCCTTCTCTTCTTCCTCTTGCTGCTCCCGGAGTTTTTTTTTATTTGTCTCACAAGTTGCTCTCGAATGAGCTATCACAAATGACACAGCGACAGTCGGGGCCACGTCCGTCCTCGGCGGGCCGCACCGACGGCACCGACTGAATGGTGGCCCTCAGAAACCCGCACGCAGGCGGGGAGGCCGGCGTAGGCCTCTGATTGGTCGCTTGGGTGACGTCATTTGGCGCGCTTTATGACGTCACGCGAAAAGCCCGGAGGTACAATCAGTGCATTTGTGAGTACAAATAACATATATGACACAATATGAGCAATGCGAACATTCCTGAGCTTAATTGGCGCATATGTGACCCAGCGAGCGACTTCAGTACACACGGGACGGTTGGTCTGCCGGGTTGAGGTGCGTGGGTATTTAACGGAGGCTACTTTGTCTTTGTGTGAATACCTGAGTCACCCACGGTAGCCATGATGGAGGGCAGCGGCCTTTGTGGGCTGCCACTATTGTCTGTGTAAATCGTGGTTTTCGGGGGCACTATTTCCATTGCGAGATACACTGCCAGGAGTTCAGCCTGAAAGATAGGCAGATACTTGTGTAGCCGAATCGCAATCTCTGTGCTGTCGTCGGCCAGTCCTAGCTGTGTTGGGGTGGCGTCCGTGGCCACCCACTGTGGGTGTTGGATGAACCTGTTTGTGTAATCAGTGCTGGTGAAACACCAATCGTGTGTGAGCATCTGATTTTGCACCATGTTTGTGAGATCGTGTGAGCGGTGCAGGATTTCTGACACGATCTTGAGGGGCAGTTTTGCGATTGGTCTGACGAAGTTCACAAAACCGGCCAGCCTTTGGGCGTACAGGTAGGAGCGCTGTGGTACCTGTTCAATGGCGATGAGTAGCTTGTCTCTCAGAGCGTTTGAGATTGACATTGAACGGTGTTCCAGGTCCAGCTGGATTCCCAGGTATGTGAGCCGCGTAGTGAGTTCCAGCACCGACTTGTTGTCATTGAGTGAGAGTCCGAGCGAGGACATGTAGTCGGGGATCCCTTCCAGTTGCCCTACTGATGACGCGACGAACAGGAAATCGTCGAGATAGACGTATGCTGTTACGCCCGGGAAGTGTTGTGTCATCTGTTGGGCTGCGGCTTTCATGACACTGCATGATGCCTGGGGTGGTTGCCAGGCCCATGGGGAGTCTGGTCCAGCGGTATGTGACTCCTTTGTACTGGATGCCAAGGTATTGACGGAGTTTTGGGTGAACTGGTATGTGGAAAAATCTGTCACGCAAATCAACTTTGATTGCGTACTTGGCGTCCGTGTTGGCGAGCACGTCGATTGGACGTGGGAGATGGCAGGTGGGTTTTTGCAAAAAGGGGGTGAGGTCCGAGAGGTCATAGAGGACCCGCACGCGCTTATCCTTTTTGGGTAGAGTGAACAGGCGGTATTTTGACGTGTCATGCCCGCGTTCGATAATGCCCACCTGTTCCAAATTCGCTATTTCCTCCGTGTTCATTCGTGACTCGAAGGTGATTTCGCGATGTTGTCTCGCCTCGGGCGGAACGAACGTTTTAGCGCCGCGCGTCAGTATTGACTGTAGGTACTCTATGATCGTCTGTTTGCAGCGCCGGGGACTCTTTGTCTTCTCATCTTTATCCTTCGATTTCCCGTCCTTCTTCTTTGACCGTACCATGCCCCGAACCATGGCTTATTTCCTCCTGACGAAGCCTTCTATTCTATGGGAGGCTTCTATTCTATGGTTCACCAAAGAGGAGTGCTCGATGGCGACGAAAAACCGACCTGCTCAAAGTGTCAGAAGCGCCAAAAGTGCACCAGGAGCCTCTCGAACCAGAAGTTCCCGCGCATCCTCGTGGTGCACCTGAAGCGGTTCTCGCCTCAGGAGAGGTTCGGCGGAAAGCTGAACACCACTGTCGACTTTTCGATGAACGGTCTTGACCTGTCGCCCTACTCGGCCGGACAGACGCCCTGCCGGTACAGCCTATACGGCGTGGCGAACCACTCTGGCACGCTGCTCTCAGGACATCACACCGCTTACTGCCGACACCCGTACACGGCAGAGTGGTACGAGTACAACGACTCGCGGGTCCACGTGATGGATCAGAGAAACGTCAACAGCGGAAAGGCATACGTGCTGTTCTTTGAGCTGGCCGGCTCGAAACACCGCTCCGGCTCGACCCACGTCTAGTCATCCAGTCACGGGAGAGGAGCCTGCGATCGTCACCCGCTCGGTTGATTCTATGTTGTAGTCACCGTTCACCGGCCGGTTCTATTCTATCGCGAAGGCTTCCTTGTGAGGAGTGCCCCTCATCGTCTTTGGTCACGAAGCAAGGCCCTAAATAAAGGGTGAAGTACATAGAGCTGGCCTCGGCTTTGGATAGGTCGGTTTTGAGCATGAAGTCCGTCTAGACGTCCAGCATGAGGCTCAACCGCCTGGTTCTCTTCCTGGCCATCTTGGACGACATCGGGATGGACTCGTCAGAAAGCGCGACTGTATTGTATTGTATTGTATTTGTATTTGTATTTGTATTTGTATTTGGCCGTATTTGTATACTGACTTCAGCGACTTCTCGAAAGCCTTCTCGAGAGCCTGCAGGGTAGAGTAAGAGCTCTCCGACCCAACAGATTTGGTGTCACCGCTGTCTAAGTCATCACCTCCAACCTGATCCCGACCCTGACCATGACCACTACAAGCGTCAGGAGGACTCTGCTGATCTTCGCTATTCCCCGGTTCATCATCGCGAGGAGGTTCGGAAGCATCTTCCTCCTCGCTTAGAACCCCCCGACAGCCACGCGGTGATCTCAGCCTTGGTGCACCCGGAGGCATTATTGGACTTGTACTCTTTCGTGTCGGATCCCAGCAGGGGGTACATGTCCTTGGCCTTGTTGCTCCAGAATTTCTCGTTGAATCCCTTCCCAGCGAACAATTCTGATTGGGGCCCAATCGGGCTGAAGCCGGACCAGCCCAAGTACGGCTCTTGGGCTAGCCCCGGTCCAGACTGGGACCTTGCTTGGTTTTTGACACACCTAGCCCGACGCGATTCCGAGTTTTGCCCAGTCGGACCCCACTACGACATGCCCGAGCCAAGTTCGGGTAATGGGATTCAAGTTGGGCTGAGCCCACGTCCTCCCATTGGCTTAACTATTGCGCTAACTTGTGGCCCCACGTGGGCTTGCCCGTGTACGTGAGCAGCGTCGCCGGTCGGACTCCGGGTGGGCAAGCCCAATGGGCAGAGCCCGTGTTATGCCATCGGCTTAACTAGTGCGCTAACCTGTGGCCCCACATGGGCTTATCTGGTTTATAACTCGGGCAGGCCCAGGCCAAAGCCGGTTGGGTCCCGATCGGTTATTTCCTCCTGCCATGGGTGGATGCAGCGTTCGTGTGCCAATGGCGGATGCAGGCAGGTATGCACAATGCACCACGCATTATTATACAGTCATCCACCCCCAAACTGTCCTACAGACCTGTTCAGTGGCAAACTACGACGACCGGGCTCTCGCACGCCTCTCCAGTAAAACAGCAATAATCAAAACTGTATGTATTAACCCATTAGTGCCCAAGGTCCTTAAAGTGGTGTAAATTGTTTCATTTTTGCTGTATATACTTATCAGGAGTCACTGATTGCCTGTGATTTTTTGAAAAAAATTGGAGATATTTTTTACCTGTTTTTGGGGTGGCAACATTTGTGACCAACGGGTCAATAAACACCATGAAATGGAATTTTAACCACTTTTTCTTACTTTTGTTTATAATAACGTCCAATCTTTCTGCGAAGACTTAAAATGTCAGCATCTGTAGTTGAGCACCTGTATTTTACGGCATTACCACACACAAAATCCAACACAAGGTAAAAGATATTTGACCTGCTTTGATGTCGACAAGGTCACGCCCACTGCGCATTTTTGGGCTTGTTCAGATCATCAGCCATACGTAGGAACCCAACTGGTGCTGATGCCCCTCTTGATCTTCCGTGTGCTCATGGAGTGTGGTACACCTTCATGCACTTTGGGTGTAGTGGAACGGCGCACTTCTCGCAGGACATGTTGGTTCGGCTGTTGCACACCTTGCAACGGTGGAACCTGGTTTTGAGCTCTGCTGGCTAGTGATGTAGACCGTCGTAGCGGAGGTCTTCTGGTGCTTGGTGGCGGCCAGAGAAGCTTGCTGGAGGACGCGGCACCGTGTTCTTCTTGATGAGGACGTACGTGAGCTCCCGCAGGAAGGGAAGTTGCGGTCCCTTGGCATGCCGTTGAGACAGGAGCCAGGTGTTTGTCCGGGCAGCGTAAACTCCCCACTGGAAGAGCGGCCACCACCACTTCTTGCTGCGTATGGTACTGCGGTAGAGAGCAACACACTGATCAAACAGATCCACACCGCCCATGTGGGTGTTGTATGCATGAAGAGGACGGGGCATCTGTACAGCGATCCTGCCACCTTGCTTCTTCACATACCGGCTGGCGGTAACGAGCGGCTCCAGCGGCTCACAGTTCGTCGCCACCGTCACGACGCGATTGTCGTTCCACCGCACAACCAGGTTGTCACCGTCAGACAGCCACTCCATTGTCCCACGCTGCTTCTTCTCCAGCACCTTCTTGTCTGAAAATGGAGCGCCACCAAGCCTGTTTTCGCGGACGGTTCCACACCCGCCAAGACCCATGTCCGACAGCACGTCCAGGAGCTCGAGTGATGTGAACAGGTTGTCGAAGAATATAGCATGGCCTGGTGGGACGGCGCACTTGTTCAGCAGGCCCAGCACCACGTCAGCTCCCTTCCCCAGGCCCGTGTCAGCCAGTTGGGTGTCGGCCCCACAGTACGGTTCCGCATGATAGAGATATCCGGTGGAGGCTGCCAGACACCACAGTTTGTACCCGTATCTTACAGGTTTGCCCCTTATGAACTGCTTGGTGCTGTGCCGTCCATAGTACGGTACCATTGTCTCGTCAACGCTCAGGTTTCTGGTGAGAGCTGCCGTCTTGAATCCGGCGTTCAAGTGCTGGAAGTACGGACGTACCTTGTAGTAGGGGAGAGTGGGGCACATTCGTGCAAAAAATGGATAAACCCATATATCTGTTCTTTGGTTAGTGCAATGGCAAAATTGTTGATTGTAGTATGGAAAGGAACTATTGCAGATAGTTTTCCTCTTTAAAAGTTATCCTCTAAAATTATTGCTTCCATTAGAAAAAATGACTTTTAATAACTCTGAACATTTGCACGAAACTGCCCCACCTATGGGGCACATTCGTTCAAGAGGTGGGGCACTTCCGTTCACCCTGCAAAGTTCGAGAAATTACCGGGCATTACCAGAAATTTACCAAAGGAAATTGGCAGGGGGTCATTTCACTTGATTCCTTTCGACAAGAATGCATTGCACAACATATGTAGAAAGAATGGGCTGGCCAACAGGAATGTGCCAACTGCCGGCCTCCGTGACCTCGCCAAGTTCGCGTGAATTGCTCGTCACGACGTCGCAAGCAGTCGAGACTGAGTCAGGCGAGCGTCATTAGAGAAACCTACTACAGATAAAGTCATAAATCGCAAAAACTAAAAAAAAATATGCACGAATGTGCCCCCAGGCAGTGCGTACACGAACCTGCCCCACAACGTTATTAGTAATATATTTCAAAATTTCTTTTTGAAAAAATGACACTTTTTCAACAAACAAGTTTGCAGGAGTTCCGTGAATAGAGTGAGCTTCTTCACCCCCAATTTTGAAAAGCTGAACCACATTTCCGAGTCAGGATCACGAAAATGGATAATATGAGAAAAGTTTGGAAAGCTCACGAATATTACAAATTTGCGTTTTTATCAAGCATGACAGCAGGTACAGTGTTGTCTTCTACGGTGAACGAAGGGCGGCAATGATAGACATATTTTCATAATTTACCTTGAGCTCGTGCAGTCACTCGTGTTCCCATAAACTGCTGAAAACGAATGTGCCCCATGCACGAATGTGCCCCACTCTCCCCTATCTGTCCTTGCTGATGTTGCTGTTGTCCGCCAGGTGCAGATTCTGGAGAAGTTCAAGAAACCTGTTCCTAGGCATGAGCTCCTGTGCCCACACAGATGACACATCGTCCTTTGCAAACCACAGATGTTTCTTGTTGTGCGTCGTTCTATAGCCCGTCATCATCATCACACCGATGATTCCCAGCAGTTCCTCCATCGTCATGTTCAGTCGTCTTCCGTGTTGCGTCGCGTACAAGTTGCTCTGCTCCAGGATATTTTCCAGCAACTCTCTCGTGAACATCTTTTGGAGCAGCTCACTTGGAGATGTGTCACCGACTTCTGAAGCATCGTTAGGGTCGCCAGCAGACAGTTCAACCCGAAATGTTGGTGGACGGTGCCTCCAGTTCCTGACCTTCTTCCTTTTAGGCCCTTTGACAGAGGTACATTGATCCGGCTCTTGTGTTGCAGAAGCAGCGACGTCACCTGATCCCTTTTCGTGTGTCCCATCGCGAGGAGCTGGAGACTGCTCCCCCGTCACTTCCGCTGATGTCCCCAGGACTCGGCGTGGGAGATGGGTTGTGTCACCAACGGTTTCGCCATCTGACTTGTCGGAGTCTTCGTCGGTATGGGCGTCATCTGCAACGAGAGAACCATTGACTCTGTAAGCTGCCCTAATTCCTCTATTACTCCTTTACTGCCAGACCTAATCACGAAAGGGATGCCTCGGGGTAAAAGCAAGACGTCTGCTGGGAATACAAGGGCTTTCCAGACCACCTTCGCTACGTTGATTTAGTAGTCAGCCGCAAGCTCGTTGATGTGAACCATGCCAGTCTTGCAACATCTTACCGTAATATACTTTGGTATATTTGTGTACGATATAATTGCTGCCACAGAAAATGGAACTCAGGAAGGCAGGGACCCCTCCCCCCCCCCAACCGTCCACAAAAACGTCACACTGACTAGAAGGCGCTGTTGCATAAACGTTCGCAAGGAAAACACTAATCATTAACCTTTGAATATGACAGGCTTAGGGTCATTTCACAATACTACTGGTAAAGTAAGTCAGGTAATGTGTAGTTTTGTATGTGAATACGCACATAATTACGAGCTTAGACGCAAACATCGGTAGAAAAAAATTATCCGCAACCGACCCTCCTATAGTATAAGGCCGCCAGGACGATGTAGATCTTTTACTCTGTCCACACGTGTAGAGAAGTGCGTAAACGTAAGTGCGACCCTGTATTTTATCAATCATTCTCCTCCCATCCAACAACAATGCTCACTCATTCACACTACGCTGTAATTATTATGCCCTACTTAGTATAGTCTGCCTACTACATATACCCCTTCTCATCCCCATTATCCACAATTTCCGAGAGCCCACTCACCCTTTTCGATGGGGGGCATGAGTATAACATCGATGTGGTCCTTCTCGACATCTTCATCTTCAAGCCAGCTGTCACTCTCCAGAAGGTCCAATATCTCATTTGCCGTGAGCCTGAAATGTGAAAAAGTCATATTTATGTTGGGTTTCTGCCCGTTGGTCACATTTGTTGCCATACATTATTTGCACGTGTGCCAGACAAAACAAAAAGCAAATGGAGTGAAACTAATAATTACAGGTTCTAAATAGGTTTAAATTCCACCCATACGACGTGCGAGAAATGATTTTTCTGAGGAAATATGAGTTTACTTACGGTTTTTTTCGGACGCGGTCCGACCGAGCTCCAATCGGCGCCGACATCTTGCTGACAATGCCGAGATCAGTGCTGCCAGATGGGGAAGGCTGTAATCCTCCAGATCAGTTACAAAAATCCTCCAGATTCCTCCAAATCCTATTGGTAGATATAGAAAGGCGTTCTTGGACGCTGCGGGGGGCTATGCCCCCAAAAAAGTTTCACCAAATTCTAAAAACTCATCGGATTTCGAATCCTTTCGCACTGCTGTGCAGTTTAAAAGATACTTTTTCTTATAAAAGTTGTTTAGTTTTCGTTTTATTCTAAAAAAAAATCGTCGATTTCGGGCGCTGCAGGGGGGCCGGGGGCATTTGCCCCAAATGTCCCCCTGGCCTTAAATCCGCCAGTAGTTTTGTACCCTCGTTACTCGTAGATATAGCTACAGACTGAGACATTAACCCGGTTTACATAGCATATTTGACGAGGCTCTAGCTCGTTAATTTGGCGATAATTTCGATGCAGTGGTCTTCAGATATTTAGAGCGGATCATTTTGTAAATTGTTAAGCACCATTGGCATCTTTTGCAACATCACGGACGGAGATATAAGCTTGCAACAAACGCTATGTAAACCCGTCTATTCTGCAGTCTCACGGTGATAAAGGACGTGATATATCCTAACGGGTAAGGTGACGCTGGGCAGGAAAATGCCTTTTTAGTCTTGAATGTGTTATATTTTTCCATGAAATTGAATATAATAATCGGGCGACAAATCCTCCAGATTTTCCTCCAGAATCAAAAATCCTCCAAAAGCGAAATTTGTCCGCAAATAGAGTTCAAAATCCTCCAGATTTGCGGAAATCCTCCAAATCTGGCAGCACTGGCCGAGATAGCGTCGCTTGTGAGGTTGCCATGCGCAAAATAGTACTGGGATCCTCCAGCTGGAAGATGCCTGAACGCGGGCGAAGTGGACCTTCCCAAAAGATGAAGCACATTTGACCAACAAAAAATCATTAACTTTGTGGTCACAAATGTGACCAACGGGCTCTAATGGGTTAAGAAAATCACATCTGAGATGAGCAAGCTGCTCAGTACATGAGCTTAAAACTCGTCAGTAGGGAGCACCTGTCCCTCCGCAGGGCGTGCCAGGCCCAGTCTGGCCACCAACACGTCCAGCTCTCCTTCTTCATCAGCCTGCTCCTGCTGCTGCGGCTGCGGCTGCGGTGGCGGCGGCGACACGACCGCATTCTGTGAGCCGGCGGCGCTATTCTTCGCTCTTAGCAGCCGCTTGCCGTTCCGGTCTCGGCTCCCCGATAGCCATTTGCCGATGGCGGTGCCAACCTTTTGGCGTTCGGCGCCGCCGCAACGGCGAAGGACGGCTGTGGGCAAACAGTGACGAATTATGTTAATATATACCTCAGATTAAACTAGGTTTGCTGTTGTTAACTGTATATTTAACGTATTTAACTTTACATTATTTGTATTTGAGCATTCAATGTACAACAAAAATACTTTTTTCATTTCCTGCTAGAATTTGTATTTACACGGGAAGCCAATGCATGTCGGTGCCAATGATGATCACCTTATCGTCCGTACACTGTCTTCTTTTGGGTAATTTTTTGCAGAAAATACACATCTCTAACGATTGTAATTTTTCTTTCAAATGATAAGAAATGGTGATAAGTTTTTTAGCAAGGGCCAATGGCAAATAGGCAAATGGCTACGCCACTGAGGCTTTAAGTGGAGCTAAAAATAATAATAATAATAATAATAAGCCAAAGGTGGCTTTGACTCTCTTACATCATCTCGTAGCGCCCAGATTGCGGCCACGGACCTAAATGTGGTACCTCAGTTCACCCCTTTGCCATAGGGAAATTGTGCTAAATTTACATAAAAGACACTGCAGTGACATTGCAGTGACCATCTGCACAGCCACCTTCACGCTCAAAATAATCGTCTGTTCAAGCTCTACATGAATCAGCCATTGAAAACAAATTTAAATGATATTTAACTGCGGTACCGGGGGCTCAAAGAAAAATTTCAGCCTCGGTTTAACCTTCGATCAGCATCATTTTCTAGCCAAGCTCGGGTTTGACTGTCCCTGCGTCGAACGTTCATGGCCACATACCCTCACCTTCACGCTTCATTGAAAGCCTATTAAATTCTCTTTCGATTGGTATGTATTTGGACGACCTACGACAAAAAATAGGTGCGGTACTTTGGCAAAAGGCAAAGAGAAGTTCCAGTGAAATGTGGCGCAATGGCGTGGGTTCAAATCTAGGTAGGGCCATCTAATTTCCGCCGTAACGTGTAATGACCGCTAACGGCGTCAACCGCTTCTGCTGTTATTATCTCGAGAACGGGTGGTCATAGCGCGACGCACGAGGCAGCAATCGAAGGGTCTAAACGAGGAGCATC